CATGAAATAAAAGCCATTGTTAGAATGCACTGTTACCAAAACACACTGGCTTTTCTATATATTAGAAGTTGTTAATCTAACTGATATACTATGGAGTGGTAGTATTTGCCTCAACATTTTTGACGGGCTAAACATGAGGTGGTTGTATTGGCTTCGTCATTTTGGATAGACTGTATGTCTATAATAAAAGATCATATCTGTTTGTCTGCGATTTCTATTTGTAATATAAGGAACCACTTCTTTTCTATGTGGTTTTTTGCTAGCTTGCCTCATTAAAAAGATACATGCACACATGCATGTGGATAAGTAATAATACCCAGGTGAACCCTCAGGATCCACTTAGTATGGGTGCAAAATTTCAGGTTTCTGGGATCATTCCTCTTGGAGCTATGGTGATCACACACACACATGCCCCTTTATTATTATATATTACATTTAATTTTATCTCTCATTTATCCTACATATTCTCTTAGATGTATGCTCAATGCTCATAAGCTTCATATCTATACAGAATCTGATATTATAAGTATTTGTATTCATTTAACAAAAATTATAGACTAAAAACAATGCATTTTATAGATCTCTATTTTAAATTTTAAAAACTCACCCCTGTTTTTTTGGGATAACAATATGATCCTTTTTGACACGAAACTTGTAACTAGTCTGATGTGATCCAGGGCAAGAATCAATTAAGTCCACAGATGTAACTTTTCTTTCTTGAAAAAAAGCTAAAGGCAAATATACTGTACAAATTAGTTTATAAAAATATTTATCCTTTCCAGCATAACAATTTTATGAATCTCTACAGTGGATATATTATTTCATTCACACTTTGATTTTTGTAATTCATTACAAGTAAATACAAGTTGTAATTGCATGGCTAAATACATAATTTGACATTTCTCTAAGCTGTTTTAACAACTATAAAAGATAAACTGTTAAACAGACCATTTTGGTATAAAAGATTATTCAATAATACTTAATAAATGCTTCTGAATATCAAGCACTTCTATCAAAAGCAGTTATTTATACAAGTATTTATTTTTTATAAAAACTTCTTTGTAATTAAAAGTAAGCTTCCTCTATAAAAAAGACAAAACAATTTAAAAACTTGTATGTCAATAAAAGTAATCCTGTACACTGAATGAACAAGATATACATACCAAGTATACATACCACATCACAATAATAACAAACAAACTACAGATTACAGTGTATCATATTGTTATGTATTGTAATTATGTGAACAAAGCTAGTCTAGAGATGTAATATTTGATTTAGTGGCTTAATAAACCTGAGTAAGTGCTACATCATACATTGGGCTATGTAAGTGAGTCACTGTCTGACTAGAGAGATTAATTAGCCAAAATTCAAGTACATATTGAGCAACAGTAGTGAATGGATAGGCCTTGGTAAACTATAAAGTCCTGGAAAAGCTTATTGGTGAGCTACTGTTTAACTATTGTCAGTCTACATATTGGTACTCAATGCAACAAAAATAAGGAATGAGTAAATGGTCTATATGAGTGTATAAAAATCCTGAAAAACTGGAGAAGTCCTTACAAAATAATTTAAAATATATACACACAATGCCCAAGTGAACTCTAAAAGAAGAATTACTTGTATAACTCTAATGTTTCTTTTTGTTTAATGAACAACAGAAAGCTATTCACAGTATCCAGTGTTAAAAGCATACACTGACACTGAGTTAATAATGCTCGGAGATGACTTGAATTGGTAATGAAGAAAAACTTTAATACAAGTTTAACATAACAGCAAATGTACAACGTTTTGACAAGGTTTTGTTATCATCAATATTGAAGTTTTTCTTCATTACCCATTCAAGCCGTCTAAATGCATTATTAGTCTCAAAGTGGGTTCCTCGTCATCGAATTTGTCATTGAGTTCATTACATTTTAATGAAAAACTTACACTGAGTACATAATCTTCACATTTTGTGAAATTAGTAGCAATATTATAGATAAGAACATCAAATAAAATAGGTGAGAGAAATACCTGAAGGTAAAAATATCCAATGTTATTTGTACAAATGTAAATTTACTGTAGGCGTATATTATATACTGCTTAAGTTGCTCATGGTTTTGTAAGATTACTGTTCAAGATAGTCCCTATTGTTACAAGATTTTGATTACGATGTAGTTCAAAGACCATTCTAAGAAAGCATTCTAAGAAAGTGAAATACTGTAAAGAAACAGGTGTCCAGTAATTCAGAAAATTAGAAAGAAATGCAAGATCAAGACAAAATCCTAAACATACACTTCAAATTATGTATAAAAGCTCTAAAAGACAGTATAGAAAAGGGTGATTAACACAGAATTGGGTATCCTATTAATAAAAACAGGAAATAGCACAAATAATATCAAAAAGTTTGAAAAAAAAGTATAACTATATATCCTAATCTACACTTTAATTGGTGTTGTAAAAATATTCAGTAAGATAACTGAAGGAATCTGATGGAATACAATGAAAATAAATGTAAAATAATTCTATACACAATTTATCATGTACAGAGAAGAAAAGAGTATTTATTTCCAAGGGTACAGTTAATCCATTTCTAGTAACTTACCTACTTTTCTCTTTCTTGCAAGTAATATAGTCTAACATCAAAACACCTAAATAAGTAATTTACCCTAGTAGCTATACTTTAGTATAAAGCATTACAATTGTATTGGGCGTATTGAGTATATACCTAAGTTTTTGACAAGAATTACTAAAACACTTAACTTTTCGAGACGGGCCGTGGGTGAAAGGCCATGTCATCTTGTTTGTTGACTCGCATTCAAAATTTTATTGAACTACTATTTCATAAATTTAGGTCAGTAACTTTGGTATCAAACTGTAGATTATAATACAGATTTTAGTACTATACATTACTCAATTTCTTAATTTAAAAGTAAATATATAAAACACTAGAAAAACATCGATATTTGTGTCATTTGGTATGTTGAATGCAGCACTGTTTTAAATTAGATGTTTGTGAAGTCAAAATACTAAGTCTATAGTTTGCTATGAATTAGAAACTCAGATTACCAATATTTAGAAGCTAGAATATAAAGTGAGAATGTCTTATCTTTCCTATTTGCTAAGATATTGCTCATGTAATAAATCAAACACAGTGGCACCCCACCCACCTCTTTCCATTTTTGGAAATGCTCCCTTATATACACTTACTTCTATATATGACATGAATAACAAATCAAAAGCTCAGAGTGTCCCCTAGTGGCTTTCTCAGCTATTTTTAAATGTAAAGACATTATATCTTTCTTTTGATATGAGACAGCATAGAGATAAGTTGAATCTTTAGTCTGCACGAAATTTCATATTTTTTAAGACCAAAATAGTCTTGTTACTAAAATTGATAAATTATAATTGAGTTCTATGATATCAATATAGTAATTTATAATTTTTTGGTTATTCAACTGTATATATATAAAACCTAAAAATAAATTATTTTGTTTCATATCCTCCATATGCAAAATGTTTAAAGGCTTAGCAACCTACATCAAGCAGCAACCAAGTACAAAGGTTATAACTAGAAGAGATAATTGTTTACTTTACTTCTTTTTTTACTGTTCTATGTTTGAAGAAAAATAAGTTTAAGAACTTATTTCAAAATAGCAATAATCTATATATGTATAAAATGTATAATAATTGAAATGTGACTGTATTTTACAAAGTACTGGTCTACTAAAACACAGCCAAGACAGGTTACTTTGTACAGAACAATAGTCAGTTTTATGTTATTGGATACGGTAACATGAGTGCACGTGTGCCACATCATTGTAACTTCTGTATTGTTAGCCAGGAATGGCTGAAAAGGTAATATAATAAAAATAATAAATAGATATAAATGTATAATTTTATGAGATTTAAGCTATTTAGTGTAAACGTTTATGTTTTTGTGTTATAATTTGTGTTCATTCTAGAATAAAAGAGGCATAATTTTTATTTATTTCCTAATTTTTTTATAGTGGTTATGAGATCGGTCAAATCTACCAAAGCTGTACAGAGATTCATTACTGAAAATAACAGATAAAATATAAAGTTTTTTCTTAAGAAACTTTTGATACCTATCTGGACATTATAAAGATTTCACATCTGAAATTTGAAAATGTTCTAATGCATAAAAGTATTTTTTTTATCTTAAAATGAAAATTACTTTGTATGATAGATAGGCAACATGTGAAAAGAAAAAAAAAAAAGGCATGAGAAAAACATTGCTTTACAAACCTTAAGACTTAATAAAAAAAAGTTTATATTTTGCATACGAAAGCATTTACTGATAATCTGCCAAATTTTGTTAACATTTGATTACTAATTTAAAAGTTAGTTATAGCATGAAAACTATAACAAGCACAAAATGGTTACAAGATCAGTCCCAGTGACTGAGCCTGTGCTGAAAGAGGTAATCACATATAATCACTGTATGCTGTAAGTAATTAAAAACATAACCTTCCATACTTTCACCTTAATACTACTTTATGTTTAAAAACAAAGACTAACATTATACTTGATCATAAACATCAACCAAATTCAATGCCAACTCAGAATGGAAAAAACAAAGAGGAAAGTAATGAAAACTAAAACATAAGCAAAGGATTAGAAAAATAAACTTATTGAGTGGAAGTGAGAAAGGAAAGATTCAGCATACAATCAAGGGGTTAATAAACATACTAAGTTGAGCTCTACAAACTATCAGTAACTTGTAATATAACTCCAATGATATTAAAGGCTCGAAATCTCAGCAGCATTCTAGAAAATATTGGTTAATAGAAAAGTCCAGTAATCCTTACAATTTATAAACAGAACATATAAAGAAAAGTTTTGGTCAGTGTTTCACTGTTACACAGTATTATAGTGATTTTTTCTATAACCTTCAATAATTTTAGCTGTAGCAGAAAATCTTCTCCCTTATCCTAAGTCGTAATTTTGGATAACTGCTAATAAAAAAACATCTCAAACACAGAACATAAATAAATTTAACTAAACATTATTTTTTTACAATAATTCAGAATAGTCTTTCTTGCTTGGTGAAATTTCGTTATATTCAAAATTCATATGTTAGCAATAAGATATTTTTAATTAACAGCTCAGTGACATATCACCATCACTGAGAAACATCACACATCTTCACTTTACTGATAACTCTAGCACCTCTCTCTCAACTAAATTTCACATCTTTGATTATAAAGTAAAATTTCCTTGTGATTACTCATTCACTTTCTGCATCACTCACATTTGTCATTCTTCTACAAACATTAAATAACTGCACGAAACATTCATAAAGAAAATATTAATTTAGTAAAGAAACTGAAGTGATACATCTTCAATGCTGATTCACAGATTCATCTTTTTATGGTAACCAGTAATCATACTTCTTAAATGTAAAAAATCTCGAATCCCTTTTTTTACCTTGACCTGCAAGTGGTCTTACTGTCCTTTTATTGAATTATTTACTAACTTTCCAAATTTAAAATACCTAAAATTAATCTTAACCATAAAAAATAACATTTTTATATCATTCATTATAAATTAACTCCTGATAAGTGGCACCTCAGGAAAAATAGAATACTAAATGATTTTTTTATCCACCAATTCAAGAAACACCAAGAATATCTAGCCAATGGTAAAACATTTGCTATCATACTTAATCTCAACAAATAGCATGCTAACAAATAAAAAAAAGGAATAATTTCTAAATTGAAATAAATTTACATTTAACTCCCACACAAATAAGTTATCTGTTGCTTTCAAATAACTGTAAAAGAATGTACCAATATAGTACAAATGTAGAATAAACTTCAAAACATATCTTTCTAGACTTACTTCCTAACTAATAATTTTAAGTATACAGCTACTAATTCTCTCACTTCTCTAAAGTATATCATTATCCTGCTCAAATTCCCATCACTTTTAACACTTAAAAGAATATTCTACGTCACAGTATATTATTATTTTTGAAATGCCTAACGTTCATAGACATTTGTATAATCACTGTGGGTGATTGCAAAATCACCACAAGTTCAGCTTTAGAGCATTTACAAAAATAAATTACACAACAATGACTTGAGCATACAAAAGTAAGTTTTTCTTCTAAGTAAGTTTTTAGTCTTAAAATAACTGCTACCCACATAAAGATATTTGGATGAGTCTAATCAAATTGTTTAAGTTCAAGATTATTGTACACATGAAATATTTTGCCAACTTATATAGAAGTTCCATTTTCTATATACACACAAAAAGACTGATAAAATTTATAGTTTATTCAAATGTGCAGCACAAAATAATTGAAAATTCTTACAAATGGCTAGCAAGCCCACAAAAAAAATGGAAAATTTCGTGACAGGAATTTAATTTTTAAAGGAAGGAGACTTTCCTCAACTGGGTTGGTCAGGGATATTGTAATCCCCCTTCACCCCAGTCACAATAATTTTGTTTGTTACAATCGTGGGATTTCAAAATTTTGTTGGAAAGGTTGGTTCTACGTTGTCTGGCGAGATTAAAAATGTTTATGAGAGAAGCAGAAACATGTCTGACAGGTTCCAGGGCAGAGAAAGTCCAAGGCTGTTGACGTGATATCGTTGAGAAGAAGACAAGAAACAAGTAAATGAACATTCGACAAAAGTACAACCAATAAACGTCCCATGATCAGGGACATGGAGTGGTTGGTATCTGTAAGTCCAATGCCATAGCTGGGATCATTAAATCCAAGTGCCTTTGAATTTGCTGTGTGGGAGGGGGATTGGAATAACCCGAGAAAACCCACTTTCACAAGACAGGCACCAAATATTCTACATGTCCAGTGCACAGTGCTGAATAAGAAAAACACAAGAAATGATTAGTTTTGCGCAGAGAATATAGTATTAAGCTTTTATCAAAGGTTGTTGTACTTCTCTAGGGTGTTTTGGAGGCCAGGTATATGTTGTATGAGGATATTGTTTTGTGTGGGGTACTAGTCATGGTGTGTAGCTTGGCAATTAAGGTGTTTCTTATTTTTGCTGAGTGGTAATATTTGTGGGCTAGTGATGTTAGTCTGTCTTTGAGTGATGGGATGTTGCAAAAGGTAAATTTGGTAGTCTAGGGGCTAACCTTAGAACACTGTTTTGCTGGAGTTGAAGTGAGTTAGCAATATTTTTGGGCATATTGTAGGGGATTTGAAAGCCGTATTCTATTAGGAGGAGTATATGCACTTTATAGATTTTTTATGGTAGTTAGATTTGCATCCTTTATTGTTTCCTGTTGTGAGTTTTAAATGGTTAGTTCTTTTGATAATGGATTTATTAATGTTTTTAAAGTGTTGTGTTCAGGAGAGTCGTGTGTCAAAGGTTATTCCTAGAAATTATGCATGGGGGCATAGTTTTATTTTGTCATTACCAAGCTTAAGTTTTATATTTTGATGTTTTTGTAGTGTTTGTTTAAGCAGTGTCTAAATGCAATTCCAATGGTTTTTATGGGGTTCAGAAGGACTCATCAATGGTTACACCAGTTTAGGATCGCATCTAAGGATTTTTGAACTCTGTTGCTTGCTATTAGTGGGTTGCGTGAAACACTCCATACGGCTATGTCACCTGCATAATGGGTTGCGTGATACACTCCATATAGCTATGTCACCTGCATATTGGGAGAAGTGTATATCAGGTCAGGGAATGGTATGTTATTTACAAACAGTATATATATAGTAGTGGTGATAAAACAGACCTTTGTGGTACTCCTACAGTGATGCTAAATGTAATGGATAGTGTTATTTATTTTAACTGTTGCAGTTTGGCTGGGTAAAAAGTTAGAAATCCATCTAATTATTTTGTTGTTAACATTCATGGAATATAATCAGTATCTAATGGCATTATGCCACACCAAATCAAAAGTTTTTTTGACATCTAAGAAGATTGCTATTGTTACTTGAAAGTTATTAAAATATTTATATATAGATAAGTCTGGTTAGATGATCTGTAGTCTGATTCCATTTTCGTGGGGAGTTCTGAATGTCAGGTATTATATTATTGTTTTCACAAAAAAGAAGTAGTTTTTTCGAGATAAACTGTTCCATAAGTTTACCTAGACAACTTAGTAGGCTTATCAGTCTAAAGTTGTCAGAGTTGGAGTTTCCTGGTGATGTTTTAGGGATGACTATGATTTTAGCTTTTTCCAAACAGCAGGGAAGTATCTTGACAAGAAGGATAAGTTCATGATGTTTATAAGATGGCAGAGAAGATTGCTTGGGGCATTTTTTAACATACTATTTTTTATACTGTCTTGCATGGGGGAAGAATTATTTAGCATTGCTATGTTAATTTTCAGTTCACCCATTGTGATTTTTCTATAAATGTCATGTACATGCATTGGTGTTGTATCACTGGTAATGTTAGTCATAAATTGTGGGTGTATAAGTCTGGTCTTGATGAGACATGCTTGTCGATATTTTGTTTTAAAAATTGGTTAAATATTGGGGTGTTGACGTCTGAAAAAGAATTGGTGTAATAATCAGTGCTTTATCGGCAATGGTTCTGGTCATTATGTTGTTGTATTTAATGTGTTGAAATAGTTTGTTATTGCTTTTCTCCACTGTAAGTGATTTGAATTTCTTCCAGAATTCTCTGGGTTGATCATGAAAATTGTCAAGATGGGTAGCAAAATTTTCGCCAAGTTTTCATTTCTTAACATGTTAATGTTCCTTTTAATTACTGTACATGTTCTGTTTATTTGCAGTTTTATTGACTGGTCTCTTGTAGTCATAAAAAAGTCATCTATGTCATATACTTTCTTTAACAAGTTTGTGTATTTCTGATGTTAAAGTCCAGCATTGTAGTGATACCTACTTGTTTGAGAGGGGAATTATGGTCTCTGTAGCTTTTGAAATAGCTTCTGTGATGTCGTTTACGTAATTGTCAAGGTCGTATTTGTTAAACATTGTGTTAATTTCATCAGGTAAAAGTGTGTCAAGAATCATGTTAAAGTTTCTCCAGTCCATTTTTGTGTAGCTGTAAACCAGTGGGAGGTTGATGTGAGTTTCCTGTTTGTTGAAATGAATACTGAAGGAGATAGGAAAGCGGTTGCTGGTTATGTCAGGGTGAGCTCTGAAGTTTCGGGGGTAAGGTAAGAGTGGGGTAAGGATTATAGCAAGATCAAGTATGTCGTAAGTGTCTATGACTGCATGATAGTGTGTTGGAATGTTATCGTCAATAACGTGCATGTTATTGTTCTCTAGTAATATATGAAGGCTGGAGCCTCTGGCATTGGTTCCGAATCTGTGGAAATCAGTACGGGGGCATTAAAGTCTCTCACTAGTATGGGAATAGTTTTCCTGCTTAAGCAATTTTGTAGAAAGTTAATGTTGATCAGTTTGCTAGGAGAACAATAAATGGCAAGTATAGAAATGGTTTGGCTATTGTTAAGCTGGAAGTGGCAGTAAATGCATTTATTGACAGTTGAGTAAACGTCTGTTTCTATTTCAGTGTGTTTTGTTTGAAGAAAATGGTAATGCCTCTGGTTTTGTTAGTTTTGGGTCGCGTGAATGATTTCAAGCCCCGAGTATTAATGTTATTTTCTTCTTTGGCTAATGTTTCAGATAAAAAATTATTCAGCCATTAAGTGGGAATATTTTCACACTATATAATATCACAAATGATCAAGTACCAGTTCTGACATTAGAAAATAATACTAGTATGTATTTTCATTCTGGATTATTTTTTTTACCCACTTTCTGGAAATTAAATCACATTCCAAATTTATATTTATTCAAATTTTGAGTTTTTTCTATAACATTTAAAAGCATATGTCAGCTACCTTTATCCCCTTTCAAAACTGATAACATATATATATATATATAAATAATTAAAATGCATTTCACAGTGCTTTTATTCCAACACTAAAGTTTTTATACTAAGATAACAAATAAATGATTAAATTCATTACCTGAAGGTTTTGGAAGTAACATGACATTAGCAAAAACTATGTTTCCAGAAACTCCAAAACACAACAGCATCACAGTCATACTAATGATGCTCTCATCATCTTTAGTTGTTTGGAAATCTGTACTTTTCAATGTCATAGGAGGCATATCTGTGCTGAATTCTAGTCTTAAAAGTGTAAATTCTGCTGTTAATGAGCATTTCATTACAAAAACATTCAATTTGAGTACCACTAATGTACAATTTCACAAAATATAACAATTAGATAAGTTACTGATTTCCAAAAATGCAAAATAAAAATATTAATATTTGAAAAAGTTTATTGCATAAAACAACTATAGAATAATCTAAATTTGTAATATTATAGCTATTACAAGACAAAACCAAGATAATGCCAAACACTTCTCTCATTTCATCAGTACACAAATCAAGTATTTGATGATCTGTTATGTAATCTGAAATGAAAATGATTGATAAATCAGATTAAACTCATAAAAGAACACTTGATAGGGGTAGCTTTACATCTTTACAGTTCATGATATTTCACACCAAGATGGACTATGTTTACAACAAACAGCAAAAGCAACATTGTTACATTTTTAAAATCAGTGTTGATGGTCTTGTTTGGGGCTTTATGGCAAAAAGCCATTTTGGCAATCTGTCAAACAATTTATTTTTTTGCAGCAGCTGATCAAAACAAATTTAAAACTTAAAAGGTAAATACATAAAACAAAAACACATTATATACAGTAATTTTCTTATTTGTGAAAAAAGGATAAAACAATACTATCCAACATGAACGTGATACCATTAGTTAAAATATGTTTAAAACAATGCTGCCACTAGTGGTCAGTATAATGGCATGAAACTAATGAGTGTGTGCAGTTGTGACTTGTGTATCACACTGCTCATACCTTGGTAGATCATTCCCTTGCATTATTTAGCCTTTTTTAATATGATACCAAAATAAGTGAATATGAATCACACATCAGTAAGAACAAATGTAAAAGAAGCCTCTGACATTTATCTAATGCAGCAGTGAGAAAATCTTGGATACCTATTGAAATAGTTGGCGATTCAAGATTTAATGGAGGAGATTCCAGTGTAGTGAATGATGCACCAGACCTTTATCAACAAGACACAAGAGTGAGTCCTGGCCACTACCAACACAGTCCTTCTCAGTACCTTTCTACCGATATCAAAAGATTAGCAGATAAAAACTAGTAAGTAATTAGTATTTGGTTGTAAAAACAGTGCTAATAAATAATTTGACTTAGATGACCTGATTTGAATAAAAATGAATGGGAAGGGGTGAATGATATTATTTTATAAGAATGGTTTTGGATTGTAATAAAGAAAATATTGCAAAGTTAACATTTTCCTAACCTGAAAATGTGCTTCTGACAGATACTCACCTCTGCACAGAGAGTAGCTTGATCCCTTATGTATCTGCCTAAGAAAACTACCCATTTAAAAATTGTGTTTAATGTGAACTGCTGCAGTGCATGATGACATCAAGATGCAATAATAGCCCTTCTCCAATAGGAGGGAAACACAACCTCCTTGCCCAGTAACTACCCTTAAGCATTTGTATTCAAAATAACTTCATTCTTAGACAAGGCAATAAAAAATGCACCAGAAGTGGGAAAGATGTGAAGAGGTGAGTATGTATTGGAAATACATTTTCAGGTAATAAAAATCTTAACTTCTGAGATGAAACCTTACCTTTACATACAGGATAGATAGAATTCACATATAATGAAATGGTGAAGGCACTGGTGCAAACATTAAACCTAGATAAGCTCCCTCCAGAAAGTTTCTAAAGGGAAAATCCATAAAGGGTTAAATCTGATGACAGAGGCTCCATGGATGTGCCCCTATGGAGGCTCTGTCATCAGATTTAACCTGCATCTCCTCTTAACCAGGATATACTCTTCATCTACAAGTGATCAGCAATCCAAGAAGTATGTGGTTAGAGTGTGATCAGACAGTATGGTGTGTGTCTCACATCAACTCAACTGGACAGACTGTTATAGCAGGAGAAGAGCACACCAGCTGTTTGAGGGGCAACCCACACAACACAGACTGTGTTACAACTGCCCTATTACTCACCGGTGCTGTGCACAGTTCATGAGGAACTCTCCAAGGTCCACCACCCCAGTAGCTATGAACTGGTAAGTGGCAATGGTCTCCTGTGCTCCAATTGATGAAGGGGAGAGACCTGGAGAAGTGCCCAGATCCCCATTAGATGCCTGCCAGAAAGTTCTTTTACAGGAAACTGTGGAATGAGTGATTGCAAAACACTATTTTTAAAAGCAAGGAAGTGCAAGCCAAAGAAGTGGACAGACACTTCCCTGGTGCTGGTTTTTGGCATGATATTCCACAGTACATTACAGTCTAGTTAGGGAAACTAAGTACATTTTAATACCATGAGGATACCTCTAGTAGTCTTGCAGGTCACCTCACCTCAGCAGTGGGTACTGGTAGGGCCAGAGCAAATGAGTTGAGAGCTTTCTGTTCCCATTGGCCCAATGCAGATGCTGGGAAGAAAGCATACCCTGGAAGTCAACACCAGCCACCTGGTGGGATGCTATAAAAGGGAAAAGGGTGCTCAAAAAATTTACTTACTTTTCTCAAAGATGGTATGCAGTTTTACTTGTGAACAAAATCCTACAGAAGACAAAACAGCCAGACGATGAAGACAATGGAAAAAGAATGTGCGCAGATTCATCCACATGCCACCCTGAAGGAGCTCGTTCAAAGAACGGTGAAAATGAAACACAAAAGTGAGACAGTTAACCCTCTCTCTCCCCAGGTACCCTTTACTGCACATGACACAAGCTTTTAGTGTCTTATATTCAGAATTTTATTTAAACTACTTTTTGTTTATGTTACACCAATTAGAATAGCATAACCTCTTATCTATTAATCCATATTTAAATAGTATACATGTTCTTCTACAAAGAAATATATAAAAAAATCGTGAATTTCCACTAGTGTGACCCGTGTGACACATTTTATCTTAACATGTCATCATCCCTATTTTATTCATCACTCCTCGAAAATGTATGAAATTAAACACAAAATACTCTCTATAAAATCTTTATTGCTCAAACAAACCATGATTTTTATAGCCTTCAATTTTGTTTGGTTACAGAGCTATCAAATAGAAAATCAGACCCATCCTGCCACACCCACCTGTCACATCCTCTCTTTCACAATTCGTTGATAGTTCTCTCTCACGTTTCATTATGTATTACCTATAACCAATAGAAAGTCAAGGTTTTCATCTATCAAATGGCATATCGTACAACATTGTATTCTGAACAGATAATCGTCAATTTCACTTGGAGTAGTAACATCGTTCCCATTGGAAAGTTAACGACTAGCTTGGATGAATTTGTAGCGGCACTTGTCGCATTGTTAGAAAGCTAGGAAAATTTTGAGAGGTAAGTGAATTTATCTATTTCTTGCATGTTATTAGTCTATATTCTTTGGTAGATTATTTAATTAAATATTGTTAAGTGCTTTACTATAATTACTATAAAAATCAGGCTTAACTCTCCTCGACAATCGAAGGCAAGAAAAAAAAAGATTGGGTAAGTACTTTATTTCTTGTTTTACATATTTATTCTTTATTTATTATTATAAGAGTAACTAAAATTAAAAGTATGGATCTTTTTAAGTTATTTAAGACTAGATTAGGTAAAATAAGTAATAATAATAATAATAATATAATTTAAAATGATTCACGAGGCACACATGCGAGCAGCTAGTGGGTGATGTAATTCGATAGCATAACATGAGTTGCACGTTCCCCAAATGATTTACAACTTATAATGGCACAGATAATCGTTGGACATAACTTAAAGGGCAATAAAACAATAAAATTTAATTATAAATAGATGTATAATGTTACGAATTTAGAGCTACTTAGGTTAAACAAATGTAGTTTCATATTACAATCTGAAGTCATTCTAGAAGGAAAAGAAGGTTAATTTAGGTTTATTTCGATTTTTTTTTGGTGGTTACGAGGCTGGTCAAATTGACCGATCCCATTTTGAGATAGGGTAGAGAAAATAACATATAAACCATAAGGAATTAGTGGGAAAAAAACGTTTGAAATTCATTTAGAAGGTTTTTGGGATTACACAAAGGAAATATGAGATTTTTTGAGATGACGAAAAGTATTTTTAATTTTAACATGAAAATTACTTTGCACACAGACTATTCAAAACAAATACTCAGTATATTCATGGACAAATCTTTATTTTATATTATTAAAAATACTTCACTAAGAAATATGAATTTTTGTATGTGAAAGACTTGTAATATTAACTGAAAGACTGCCAAATATCATGAAGATATACCCAATATATTGAGAGTTATAAGTATTAAATTTATATCAACTCTAAATGAGTACAAAAGGTCATGTGACTCGGTCAAACTGACTGACCCCATGTTGAGAGAGTTAAAAGGCATGCACAACTCAGCAAAACACCTGAGAGTGGAGAGACCACTCTGTGATTCGAACTCTGATCAGCTGAGAGAGGCAATCTGCCAACAAGTTCAGAGCCACTGGCACATGACAAGCCATGAGACAAACCAAATGAGAATATGTCCAAAATAGCAAGTACAATGCAAGGAAGCAAAGAGTTCTGGAATGGATAACCAGCCTGACAGTTGATATACGAAACGACTGTGGAATTGTCAGAGTGGATCATGACCAACTGACCTATGAGAAGAGAGAAAAAATGGGAAAGTGCCCAGAAGGTAAGAGTCTAAGGATGTGGTCACACAGTAAACACTCCTCTGGAGTCTGCATGCTCAAAGCCATGTTGTCATTCAGAGACACCCACCCAGCTCTACAAAGGCATTTGTGAAGAGATGAAGATGTAGATGTGGGACAGCAAGGGGATACCCACCATGGTATAGGTGAAAATGAGCCACCAAGACAAATCCTTGATAAAAGGAGAAGGGAAGCACACACTCAAAGACAACAGATCCCAAGAAAGATTCCACTGGTCTTGCAATTTCAAGTGGAAGAGGAACATGTGTATGCAGCCTGAATGAATGAATGATTCAAGGGAAGTCAAAGTTCCCAAAAGCAAAAAAACCTTGTGTGCAGGGTGTGAAAGAAAAAGTATAAACCTACGTGAAAAGACATTCCATTGTTTGTAAACAAAGTGTAGAAGGCTGAGCCCAACTGAGATTGGAGGGAAGAACAGGACCAGATGTACTAAATACAGGAGAAGCATGAGAAAAGACTTGTAAAGCTGGACAAGCTAGTCTAGCCAAGCAGCTTCCACCAGAAGAATGCAGTTGTGAGAGAAGGAAACCACTTAAGAAAGGGTTAGAAGTTAATGATCCATGTAATAATGGAACCGCAGTCTCAATCAATAAACAAGGCAGGCAAATGCCCCAGTGACTCAAATAAAGACATATGGAACATATGAAATCCTATTGAAGACGACAGATGTGGGCACGACCAATAGGGATGAGGAGAAGTCTATGTTCCCAAAAAGCTAACACTTCTTGCACAGTGGGAGAAGAATAAAGGATAGGTTGAGAGCTAGTAGTTCCATAGCCTGCAAACAAAGGGGAGAAGGTTGGGCCCCAACTGAGTAGGTAATTTAACAATACCCCAAGATGAATGAGGTATTGCATAGGGGTGAGGAAAGACTTCTCCACCTTCACCAACCAACTCACTTGAAGAACTTCTCATTGGAGGAACTGAATATGAAGGGCAGAGGCAGCCTGCGAGGAAGTTAGAAGTAGCCAGTCATCCATGTAATGAGGAAGATGGGCAAATGCCCTAACCACCTGACAAAAAACATAGGGAGCCAAGGCGAGTCAAAATGGAAGATTATGGAACTGAAAAATACAACATCAATGAATGAAACAAAGGAAATGTCTCGATGCATCCAAAACCTTGACCTCCTCCATAGATCAGAAATGAAAGCCCACTGAAGGGACAAGTATGACTCTGTGGTGAAACAAGGTAGAACCAAGAAGTGGTTCAGAGCCAAAAGATCAATGACAGTGTGCAGTCTCCAGTCTTCTTGAGGATGACAAACAGATGGGAATAAAAACCCAGACAAGAAGAATCCTCCTTTTCAATGTCATCCTTGTGAAGCAAATCTTGAACTGCCTCCAAAAGACACAGCTGTAAATGAGATCCTGAGGAGAAGGGAAGGGAAGGTAACTGGATGCTGGGAAATGGAGGAGGAGAATTGAAATGTAAGACCAGACCCTCTAAAACAACCCACAGATCCCAAGGATCCATGGCAAAGGACCTCCAGATGTAGGAAAAAATGGAGGAGCCTGGCCCCCCACAGGACCCAAACCCACAATGTAGTCACAGAGACCATTCATTGCAACTAGGATGGTGCCCCAAGTACTTTGGGAATACGAGAGGCTAGAATCTGTATGGGAGAAGAAGGAGGAAGGCAAGACACAGGAACAGGTTCAGGAAGGATTGGGATAAAGGAGAGGCCAAAGAGGAAATGAAGGTATGCAACCATGCCAACTCAACTCTAGTTTCCAAAGAGTCAGGAATGCCTCAAACACGTCCTTGCACAGAAAAGGAGCCATGCATAAATCACACAATGAAGAGGGAGGCAAACACTCCCATGACAAAAGGGCATCCCAACCCAAAAATTTCCAACAACAGAGGAGCCACATTTGCAAGAAAAGGATGAAAGATAAGAGGCATGATAAAGTGGAAAACAGTAAATCTGAGTCTCCACTGAGAACTTCTCAGGGGAACAATGAAGAACCATGAATAGCAGGTGTAGGGAGGACAGGAGATGCAGAATGGAGGAGAGGGTGAGAAAAATTCAGAAAACTGGGGCTGGGTGGAAGTAAATGAAGTATTAAGGTCCAAACCCCACAAAGGGACAAGCAATTCTAAATACTGGGAGTCTAAGTAGGGAAATTCAGAACAACAATATGCCTAAAGCATGGTCTTCCAGAGTACCACAAATGTAATGGTCTCCAAAACTACTCGCTTGAAACCCCAATACCCTGAGAAAGAGGAGACAGTAGATACTACTCCACCAGACAGTACCAGAGCCATTATTTCTTGAGCAGATAAAGTCTGCCCTTATGCCAGTGAAGTGGCAGGAAGATCAGCTGAAGTAGACACAGCAGCAGTGGTGGTTGTCAAGTGGAATTGCGAGTTCCTGACAAGTAATGTTGACTGGGAAAAAGGAGAATTGAAGCTCCAAAAAGAAGTCCAAAACAGTGAAATATGTTTTCAAAAACATTGAAAAACAAAATGTGTTCAGAATAATATTTGAAACTTCAGCGAGAAAAATTATGAAACTAGTAAATGGAAAGCAAAAAAATAAAACTTAAAAAAAAAGAAACAATCAACAGCTAAGCACGAGTCAAAATGCATCCCATCACTATGACAATCAATCAAGAAGTGATTACAGGCTGCACAGAAGAGAGAGCAATATTAATGATAAGAGTTGTGTCACACTCCTATTGGTGGAGGATTGTTCCATGATCATTTGCATTATATTATGCAGATGGCTTACATGAGGTAAGATATCATATTAGAATTTATGTTTCTTAAACTATCGCAAATCTCACATAACTGATTAATAATTTGAAAAACATGTTTGTTCTAAACAACAGTGAGGAAAAGACTGAAGTTTTTTCAAGCATAAGCACTTAAGAGGAGTTACTGCACAAGGAGGTTGTGCTGCCCTCCAATTGGTGGAGGGCTGTCATTGCATTATGATGTCGTTAAACATGTGATTTTTACTTGGAAGTTAGTTTAAAGCTAGTGGAATGTAATCTCATATGCAGATCTGCAAGAGATCAAGCTATTCTGTGTTCATAGGTGAGGTATCATCTCAGAATTCCAATTATACTTTCACTGTTTTGTGCAGCATGAGTATGACAATCCATTTTTTAATTGTTTTATTTGCTTTCATACTGATGAATTGACTCAGTATTATATATAAAACTAAATTATTTTTACTTTCATGAAAAATTAAGGTTTTTTTTAAGAGAAACAATGTTTGACTTGATGCGTTTTTACTGTTAGGACTTTACATAACCTGTTATTTTACTTCTTGTGAACTTGAAAAGCAACAGAACTATACACTTTGGGATTGTACATGATACTTAAAATTATGAAACACTTAACACAAACTTAGTGTCTACATCTGAGGTCCAAAATTTACTCAACATCTCATGATGAAATTATAGCTCATAATAAAATCCACCACCAATTTCTATCCGTGCTGTATTTCCTATGACATCATGATCTGTAAGATGACTCTTGTTTTGAAAGATCAGATGTATATATCCCATTGGTACTGACAATGATATTGACCTATTATTAATTTCTGATCTAATTTATTCATGTTCTCTTCTCTCCCTTTCTTCAAGTATACAGTGTCGACACTGTAAAGAATGTGTATTATCATGGGCATCGAACATCACTCAAAACTATGATACAAGTTCTGGTATTATACAAAATTAGTAAGTTAAAACAAAGAAGTGAAAAATGCACAAAGAACACACATCAGTACTGCTACATTTAATTATACCACCATATTGTTTCCAAAAAATACAAAAGGAAAAATAATTACCTCACAGTGTTATACCTTCCAGAAGACAGCTTTACTAAAATATATGCACCAAAAGTGGCACCTGAAACCTGAAAGACAAATTTATAAGGTATACTCTTACAAACTATATTAATATAAGTAGCCAATTAAATGAGTTAAACAATAATAAAACTTTCCCCTCAAAAGTTTCTTAATATATAAACAATTGCAAGTCCAAAATTTAACAAACCCATATTTTTTATGGTGTGTACATCTTTCATAAACCAGCGGATAATGATTACAATTTTACTTGTTATGAGAAATTATTATTAGGCCTAAGAAAAACATAATGTACTTAGAATACTATTATTATGCACTCTTCTAATTCTTGAAAATTCCTAAGGGACTATATTAAGAATGAAGTGTTTAAGAATGTAATAGACCTAATACTAATGTCTTATGACAAGTAAAATTAAAAACATTGTTTTGACCATTACTCTGCATCATACTTGCCACAAAAACATTCTTAAATACAAGTATAGCAAAATTCATATGTTTCAACAAACCAAATACAATACTTACATTTCTCATATCAGGACAATCTTTAGTTCTAATACATACCCTATCACCATCAGTGAACAACCCCATAGATCTTCAAGAACCTTCAAAAGCTGTAAACCAGAGCATCATACAAGAATAACTATTCTTTTCATCACTAACCTCAGTTATACAAAAGATATCTCAAAAGTTTTAAAAACAAGTTCACTTCAAATCTGGATCACTCCTCGTAACATACTCTACAACAAAAGCAACCCATGGATCTTCTAGAGTCCTGCCTGTGAGGGATATTGCTGTAGTACTGCATGTTATGCAAGGATGTTGACAGCAGTGTCCTTCAATGTCAGTTCAAGTGATGTCTCAAAATGTTCAATAAAGAGAAAACGGTACTTCCAATCTGGAGTATCTGCCTTCTTTAGATGACTCGGAAAGGTCACATCTAGAGATGGTAATAAGCCATGGTGGAATGGGCTGATCATTGGGAACAGCAATGTCATCCAATGCCAGACCCAATTCACCCAGTTGTGTCTGGATAGTGAGGCCAAAAGAAGGAATTGCAGACCATCTATTCTGAAAGAGCATGGCCCACCAAGGGAAAAAAAGACACAACTCCAAGTGGAATTCTGTGGTAAGGATCAAAGCTTGGTAGCATATTGTAGAGAAAGTTGCAAATGGTGAAAGTGAAGAGGAGGTTCATGGGAATCAGTGTACAAACTCTGGACTAGAGAAGTACTGAAGGCTCCCATGCAGAACCAAAGCCCCAGATGGTGACTGGGGTACAGCATCTTCATAGCCGAGGTCCTGGCAGAACCATAGGCCAGAGACCATATTCCAGTTTGGATCGAATGAGGGCACGATAGATACTGAGCATAGAACATTGATCCGCTCCCCAAGAGGAGGAAGAGAGGACATGGAGGATGTTTAGTGCCCTTGTACACTTGACATGTAGCTGATCTCTGTGAGGAATGAAAGTAAGCTTACAGTCAAAAATTAGCCCCATGAGCTTTGCCTCAGGAGTCACAGGAGACAGAACTTGAAATCAGGGTGTAGGTCCTGCTGGTGGCAAAAATGCATGCAAACGATTTTGGAAAAAGAAAAGGTAAAACCATTTGCTGTGGTCCACTTCCACAAGATATTGAGGGCAGTCTGAAGCTGCCATTCAATAAATCTCATGTTTGATGACCGACACAAAATGCAGAAGTCATCAACAAAGAGCCCATTTGCAACAGTAGGAGGAAGTTGTGTACTGATAGCATTAATCTTGATAATGAAATGTGTGACACTCAAGACACAGCCCTGAGGGACTCCAAGTTCCTGTGTAAAAGAACAGGAAAAAGTTGAACCCACATGGACTTTGAATCTCCTATCAGGTAAAAAGTTCTGAATAAAAATGGGTAAATGGCCACACAACCCATATGAGTGGAGATCCCACAAAATGCCGTACCTCCATGTAGTGTCGTAAGCTTTCTCAAGGTCAAAGAACACAGAAACAAGATGTTCTCTCTTGAGGAAGGCTTCCTTGATTGAGGTTTCAAGTTGATTCAGGTGGTCCACAGTGGAGTGCTGTTGACAGAAACCACACTGGGTGCGCGAGAGGAGGTTGTTTGATTCAAGGCACCAAACTAGACGAGCATTAACAATCCTCTCTAAGACCTTACAGAAACAGTTTATCAAACCAATTGGACAATAATTAGAAGGAAGCTTGGGATCCTTCCCAGGCACAGAGAAAGGGAGGACAATAGCCTGGCTCCAAGTATCAGGAAAAATATTCTCCTGCAAAATCCGGTTAGAAACAATCAGAAGAATAGCAAGAGAGGCACGATATAGATGGTGCAGCATCTAATGGTGAACATCATCAGGTCCAACCAATGTACCGCCGACTGATGAAGGGCAATTTTGAGTTCCACCAGTGTAAGGGAGCGATTACAGTCATAGAGACCAAAGGAAAGCGACAATCACTCTGCTCGAGACTTGATGGCAAAAAAGGTGGGGGAAGAAACAGAAGTGCTTGATGCATGAGCAAAACTCTCACCATAAGTATTGGCAATGTTCTGCACATCAGCAACTTCTTGGCCATTGGAAAGCAAGATGGAATGGGGATGAATTTGGAACTGGTGGTAGAAGATATGCTAGTTGTTAGCTTAATCCAAGAATCCTTTTGGCTTTAATTTCTGACATGCAGAGCATAAGCATTGGCCCGCTGGAAAGTGATGTGGTTGGAAAGATTGGGATACCAGCAAAAAGTATCCCAGGCTCATTTCTGAGGCTTCCGTGCCTGCTGGCAGGCTAGAGACCACCATAGATGAGGATACCATGGAAAACGTGTCTAGGTTTTAGGTACAGAATGAACAGCTGCTTGAATGAAGCAATCAGTTACTGCCTACACACAGTCATTAACAGATGGAAGACTAACGACAGCAGGATCAAGTTCTGAGAGAGAGGTAAAAGAGAGCCAGTCAGCCTGGTCCAACTTCCACCGTGGCACTCGGGTCAGGTGGCACTGACCACGGCCAATCACCCTCAAAATGATAGGAAAATTATTCCTGCCCCATGGGTCACTGTCAACCCTCAAAGAAAAGTGAGAGAAAAGTGAAGGAGAACAGATAGATAAAAGTATTGCAGTAAAAGACTGACTAGGTGCATGGAAATAAGAATAAGAACCAGCATTGAAGAGAGAAAGGTTGTGAGCCAAGAGCATATGCTCTATGGAACGACTCCTCCCATCAATATCATCACCATCCCAGAGGGGATAGTCTCCATTAAAGTATCCCAGGATTAAAAGGGAGACAGCAAATGAGAGTATCAAGTTCTGCTTAATCAGAAGTCTCTCCAGAAGACAGGTAGAAAGAACAAAAAGTAATGGAATGACCCAAGGAAACACAGATGGCTACAGCCTCCAAGGGTGTATTGAGTGACCCCAAAAAGGTGGGCATGTGCTGGTAGACCAGTTCCACTCCTTCATGCACTCATCCATCACACAATCTGTCATTCCGGTATAAAGAAAACTGCCAAAAGGTGACTGCATCGTCAGGTTTTAGGAATGTTTCCTGTAAGGCAAGGCACACAGGGGATAGGAATCAATCAAGGCCTTAATGCCATTCAGAATAGAATGAAAACTTTGACACTTCCACTGTATCAAAGTGGCCATTTTTACTTAGATGGAGGAAAACTGAACGGAGAACCCTTCTGTTTATGTCCATGCTGTTTTTCTTTACTAGAAAGAGATCTGTCGACTTCCATGGATCCTGCCCTTGGTTGAGTGGGCAGATCTCTGTCATTAGACTTAGAGTCCAGCAACTGAGGGCGAGATCTAATAATCGTTCTGGATCTCGGAGCTGAAGAAAATGGACCCAAGCAGACAGTGGAAGCCAGGACTGAAGGAGGTGGACCCAGGCAATCACTGGAAGGAATGGTGGAGATAGTGATAGGAGTAGACGTTAACTTGTTGACTCAGTTATCCATTGAGGGCAAAAGACTCTTCACATGATGCAAAAAAGACTCTGATGGAGACACGGAAAGGTTTGCATGCACTCCCACTGTAGCAGTGGAGCATAATGCAGCAGCATATGTCCGAGATGGAGTAGGAGAAAATAACTTCCGAGCCTCAGAGTAAGAAATGTTGTTAACAGTTTTTAAATGCTGTACATCTTTCTCCTCCACCCACTTAAGACAAGATCTATAGTAAGAGGGGTGGGAACCACTACAATTAACATAGTGAGTGTCCAGTTCACACTTGTAAGCATCGTGGTCTTTGCCACCACAACGAGCACATATCATAGAACCACGACAAGATGCCTTTGATTGACCGAACTGCTGACACTGGAAACATCTGAGAGGGATGGGATATAATGCTGTACCTTACAGTTCAGATAACCTACCTTAACAGTGGCAGGTGGACATGGTGATGTAAATGTCAAAATAAGAACACCAGTAGGCAGCATAATTCCTTCTTTACAAGTGGAGATACGTCACACTGCAGAAACTCCTTGGCTGGAGAAACCAGCGAGAATCTCCAAGTTGGGGATGTTCTTCAAATCCTTCTCAACAATTACTCCTCATGAGGAATTCAAAGTACCATGGGGAGTAAGCTCAATGGGTATATCCCCAATGGTCGTCAAATTCAAAAAGAGTTTGCTGTGTTTTGGTGTAGATGTTTCCACCAAGATGTCCCCAGAATGTAGCTTCTTGACTGACTTTGGAGAGCCAGCAAGCCCCTCTAATCCTTTCTGAATAAAAAAAGGGATACATTTGTCCTAAAGGTTTTACACACAAGGAATGCAAAATTGAAAAACAAGGTACAGGAGCAAGGCAATGTTGTTTACCAATAAGCTGAGTTTTTACTATTTTATTTTTTGAGGATTTGGGGATCCATAATATAAGGAGAAAGATTCAGTGCCCACTGACCCCACCCATTATGGAGTTCTATGAGTGGATGCACTACAATGCCAAACAAGGACGCTGCAGTAACACCAGGGTTTCATGAGCACTAAATCCAAACACCAGCGTCAGACACAATGTCCACAACACCCATTGTGAATGCTCAACACTGGTA